TTCAATTAAGTCAGCGTACTTCGAGTTGTGTCTTGATGCAAATGAAAAAAAAATGAAAAATACACGCCTCAAATATCCTGCATGTTGCGTGAGGAAACCCTTGGCGCGTACAGTGTAAGATAGGGGCCTGGGAGGTGATGCTCAAATCGACGCAATGTATGTAGCTGAGAAAAGGTTGTTCTTGTAAAGTAAGGAATCTGGCTCGCTAATCTCTTGATTCGAGTGATGAGAAATACTGCTTGGCATGAAATCTGGTAAAAATATCGAAATCAAGAGGCTTATTACTTTATTTTTAGCCTGTAGCACCATAAACGAAACTACTACTATTTCATGACGTTTCCGACACGACTCCTATACATGCCATACCCCCAGACATTCTTTTTTTGATGTGATGCAATATTTGGTCAGTAAGTTCGAACTGCATGAATAAGAGAATGTTACTATATTTCCCTTTGACTGTATTATTGAATACTTAAATAATGCATGAAGCTTGGCGTATTTTGGTATGGATGATAATTGGTGCCCCGAGAGAATAGGTAATATGCTGCATGGGGGTTGGTGAACTGAGGAGCATAAGATTGGGGGTAAGCTCTGGGGGAATACGAAGTGATGAGGTTGAATCAAATGCGCAAGAAAATGTAGATTAAATCGTGTCTTTCTAGTATAGAATAAATTCCATATATTACCTTACCCGCAACCTTCCCTATATCCGTATCGTATCATCGCGAATCGATGTATTTCGCTCCCCATCTTAGCTGCACCACGAAAGCCTACTGTCCATTATAGCTTCTTAAGTGTTGGCGAAAGCATCGGCACTCGGCCAGCTCTCTTCACACCGATTATAAACGAATTTGAGCATCACTCAACCATCCCGTGACAGAAACGAGATCCGATTATTAATGGTTGAGCCATTGCAAATAACCCTAACCCTGCGTAGCTCCCGAACTACAAACAGATCTTCAGGGATGCAAAGAACGCGGGGCTTGGATGGTTGACACTAGGGCTCTATGATTTTGTTTCTGACTGCGTGTTTTGGATGCCATGTCTCGCGCAATGAGAGTCTTCGCCTCTCCGACTCCTTTAACTCCCTTCATCAGCGTGTCCATCATAACTATCTGCGTACAGTGACGACATGTGAGCCAAACAAAAAATTGCCATCGAGATTTTCTATTCTCGAAGGAAGTGCTAACAAGTGAAACACCTATGAAAGTGTAGCGAGCCACCTTTCACATCCCCAATTCTTTCCGCCAGCGGAATTCAGGATTAAAAATATGGCGCCACGGCAAAATTGAAATAATAGATAAGGCCTGGGTCATCAGAATTCACACATAGGAGAAAGGCAAGGAATGCTGAATCTGAAGTCCCGAAGACTAGTTACCCTATATATTGGGCAAAGAGTTGTGTCCGTGTTATAGGGATACATGATTATTTTTGTCGTCACGAGCGCTTGATAAGAGATCCTCTTTTGGAACTATCACAAGGATCACTTGTACTCACTAAACTCGGCGCAACTAATCTGGAAGCGCGGTAAACACTATAGATATTACGAGTTCCCTCGTAGGCTCTGCTCTCTCGCGTCGCTTCGCAACCCCGCGCTTGCGAGGATTGGCGTTTGGAATAAATTAGACTCGACAGCTCGGTAAATATTGCAGCGAGCCCTTATGACACTCATGTATCGGACGCTGACCGATGGAATACTTTGCAGCTCTCTCCGTGACACGTCCTCACTAGGAAAAATACGGGTGAAGTACTCTCAAAGGCGAACTCATATAAATTACTCTTGGCCGACCAAGGTTATGTGCTGAAATTTTGAACTGCTCTTCTAAGCCTCGCTTTATCCCGTCTCTTAGCAGAAATGTACTAAAATATACTGCAGTTCCTCGCTTCGAGTGTCGAACGAGATGGCCCGGCATTGCTAGAGTGAGATATCCGCTCAGAGTCGCATGTTCGAGAATATATATATATCACACAGCAGGTTGACCCTCGCCGCTCCGAGCACGAGCCTGGCAGATGACAAAGGGGTGCCTCCGTATAATTAGATGTACGTATAGTGGTCCTCTAACCAGTGTCTCTCGTTCTTCCCTTATGACAGTTTGAAAGGGTTAGTGCCCACGACCCTATCGCCTTCCGACGCGGAGATCTAAGTATTATCTTTACTCCAGGAGATTTCTCGGCACCTGGGCTCAACATTGGAACGGTTTTAGATATGACAAATATATCTATCACTAGTCAATAAACTAGTCCAAACCTATATAACGAGACAGCATCTTCCGTTGTTACGGAGCGGCACCCAATAGTAAATCCAAATCTGTTAGTGTGTGTATCAATGATAAGGCCCCTTCATCACATATATAGCGCCCCACTCAGGATCTATATATTTTACGTCCGACGTCCAGATGCTCTCGAAGTCAATTCTGACCCTATCCGAGAATTTACTTAAGTCAGTTATTTCTTGAGCGTTTCGTATGGTTTCGTGTTTAATCGATTCTAAAATTCACTGCACGCTCGTACGCAGCGGTGAATTCCTTGCAGTTTTAACTAGAGGGCTTACCAAGATTAATACTGAGATTTGACGCCTCCTCCCATGTGGAAAGATCTTACCTGCCCCCAATCTCAAGGCCCATACTCAGGATCCACTATTATAGGGCCACTCGTGCCCCGATGAGAAGAGCGGATCTTGGTTCATCTCCCGTCTCTCGTGTTCTCGCCTCGACCCTACATTATCTCCCCGCCTTCCTAGAGAAATAGGGCGGGTCTTCTCTGTTACACCAGCATGAGTGAGTCGTGATAGTGGTCCAAGGAACAGCTAACGCTATGGCCAACCTTTTGAAACTGTTTGAGCTCGTCGCCCTTGTCTTATACTACTCACCATTGCAACAGTGAGCTCTTCATCTCTGCTAATATTGTAGGGGCTGCATTTTGTTGTTTGGAACGTTTAGGGGTCGTTCTACTTTGGTGGCGTCCTACTTTCCATTCTGTGGCTGAGAGTCCAGACAGCCTATTAACTATTACCTGACGAGAATATGAATGTGCCCTTTGTGATAAATATCAATACCATCGAAGTACTGACAGTTGAAAGAGCTTTGCGTTGCTCGTAAGAATCCATCCGTGTCTCCCAAGCTAAACACAGTTGTTCTCTGAATGTTCCTTCCATAACATAGAGCGAATCTTTCCTTAACTTGCCAATGACTCTCTCTATCTTTCCTGCTTAATTTCCGCCTCCTCCTCGGTAGGTCTTCGCTTTCTTGCACACCTCGCGAGGTCATCATAACACTTCGATAATGCCAGGAGTTGGTGTGTCATCGAGGCCTTCTTCGCCAGCCTCTCTCTTATGCAAAGCCTTGGCACACGCCCCAACTTTTCTTCCTTGCTTCCCACAGCCACCAAAATCCACCTGTTATCAATGATCCCTTGTCGCTCATTGAGCGCGGAATTTTGATTTTCCCTAACCGATACCCTATGAAATGTGCCGAGCCGTTCTAACGCCACTGGATTAATCCTGACTGACTCGTGCAACTCTGGCTGATCTAATATCTCCACGATGCCTCGCACCGGAAGTGCCCGAGGATACACGATGAGTCTTGGTTGGCATGAGGTGTGCGCCGCGACAATCTCTCTGCATTACACCGCGCGACGGATAAGTTGCTCATGTTTGCGTCCTTGCGCTGGCTCATAAGCTCGTTTTTTGGTGTAGACACGCGAATCTCCGAGTGTGCATCACAATAAATATCCACACACCCAAATAGGCGCTAATGTGATCGTTGCCTCGAAGGAAACTATTACCTGGGCTAATTTCCTGTTCAATCTGTGAAGGCCTCCCAATATAATGTCGTGTAATCCATTTGCAGAGCGAGCCAGATTGGTTTTCCACCGCCGTTACCTGCAAGGTATGCAAGCACCGCATTCGTCGAAAGCGAATTATTTGTGAATATGGTCCTTTCGAGAGGAAAGCGGTACATAAATGTACAGTTACTGAGGTGAAAGTGAAGGAGATGATGGACGCGTGTATTGTCATGAACTAGCTTTGGGATCAGGTGATTTCTCATAAATAAGATCTAATCGGTTAGGAACGTATGAACCCTCACTCTCTCTTTTTCTACCTATGAAACGTACGTGAACCTATAATCTTTTGAGAAAGCAGCTTTACTAATTCCACTATATAAGCGATGTCTGAGGCCGAGTCTCTCTTCTACCGACAAGTTCAATCGCACAATCAAGGCATTCCCCATCCAATTCGCGTGGCCGCAAGATCAAAGATATGAGAAACGGACCTGTCTTTCGTGTCGCCAGTTCGCAATCTCTCACTGTGGCGTTCCCGATGCGTGGGATGAGTGAGACACAATGCAAAGGGAGCAGGAATGGTACATAGTATCTAAGGAGATGGCGTCTCCTCGAGAGTCACCACCCTGTAGCTCTTCTATGATGACGCGCACGTTCGATGACCTTCGTAGGTATTAACTCTATGACACTGAAGATAGAGAGACTATTTGCTGACACAAGAGAGTGTGAAGCTGGAGAGTGACTATGAAATTGAGCTGTTGATTGGCGTACGATGGTTTAGGCTCTAATATGATGGCGTGTGTGATGTCGTAGATATAGCCTACTGCTGTGAATAGTGATATATCCATAGGATTGAGTTAGTCCATTCGCACCTTCAACGAGTGTCGCAGTCGTTTTCTTTCTCTACTTGGTAAGTGCTCCCAGAATTGGTTAATTATTTTGATAAAATAAAGCACTAATTACTATTCCCACCCTATAACTATATGCTCCCTTTGCCAGGTATACAGTCTCTTTATCCTGGGCCAAGCTCTGTCCATCCCAATATCTAGAACCAACTTTTCACTTGCGCGTTAGTATTGTAGTGAAATTTAGATTTGCTGGGAGCGTGTTGCGAGCCCATCTTCAAATGTTGAATAGACCTTTGATTGCAGGTTTCACTTCGTCGGTACGGTTCTCCAGGTACACAGAATGTATGTGGCAATTTGGGTGCGAAACTTGTCTTAATGTTTAATATCGGGAATGTTGCCATTGTTGTCTGGCTCGTAGTCTTTGTACTCCAAAAGAACTGGACTGTTATCTATCTCGGCCATCCGCTGGCTTCCAGAGCCTCCTCCAGGCCCTGTGACTTGGTTTTTGACTTTGTGATAGGGAATAAATAAGTCCGTTGCAGCGTCACCACTCAGTATCAACTTCCTCATCTTTGCACTTGGTCCCAAGCCGAGTGTCTTTGTATCAGGGTTTTCGGCAACACTGTGTACTTGGGAGGCCGTCAAAAGACTCATCCATATGACATCTTCGATAACGCGCCTAATTCTATCGTTCCAGCCCCCAAGGTCCTCAATCAGCCCTTCCAGACGCCTCTTTCCGGATGTTGACCACTGGAGCTTTCTTAACCAACCGCTGTTCGACTGCAAACCCTGCACCTGTGGGTCTTCCGGGACGAGAGAAGTGCCTCGCAAGAAGGTATCCAAGTCAAAACCGGTAGCAGAGTCGAGTGTAGTCAAGTTGTACTTCGCTTCAAGACTGGTATACTCTTTCAGCCTGGTAAAAAGCTGTATGATCATGGAAAGTGTATGGCTCTGGGTTGTAGGTGGAAGAGTTTTAAAGATGCCCCCATCGATGGCCGGCGTTTGCCCAAAAAGGAACGAAATACATGCTTTCATTCTTTGCTCCTCATCCTTCAGCCGAATTCGCAAGACTCCCGCATCAGACGCAAAGCGTTTGCTATTGCCACCAGAGCCGATATCTCGCCGATGAGGCTTAATATTGGTTGGACTAATCCTGGGATAGCTAAAGCTAGGCCCACAATCTCTGCCATATTTTTATGGTCTTAAATGCCCGCAGGAGGAGGTAGCTTTCGAATTTTGCGAGAAAGGCGCTCTGGGGATTCCTTGCACGTTTGTGTAGATACCTCAGGCTGGGGAAGAAGGTCAGGCATGTGTTTGACTATATACATGTAGTGTTGATGTCGTTAGAAACCTTTCTCTGTACTACATACATACATGTATATCTCCAACTGCGCCGCATCTTCACGTGGCTGTAGCCTAGAGCCCATCGTTTACCCCTGACAAGCTCCGAGCCGAGCCCAAGTGACGCGATCTGACGTGAGTCACAGTTTACCCGCATGCGCATATGTATGTAATTAAAATTTAACGAGCTCATGGGTTGTCATTGGTTGACCATTGAGTGTAAAGTACCTACAAAGTGGCTGTAAATCCGGGGGGGAACACGAACTGACATACATACAGGTATCTCTAAGCCACCAGAATCCGTTTCAATCCGGCCGATCCCCTGCTATCAATATATCTACCCTGGTGCCACTGTACGCTCTATCAAAATGCTCATCCCCTATCCAATTAGGACCGAATTTACCCAATTTCAGACTTCAAAGTCCCTCTAGATCAATGCTGGTATTGATAAAAACCTCGGAGCTTTGTTAATTGTATATATTGACATGCAGACTTAGGGATAGTGGAGAAATTTATTCCCGTGAAGCTGCGCCTTGAAACGATAATATTCGATGTACATCACCTCCACATCCCCGGGACCGGCAAGGAATTGAGATAGCTGATATTCTATATATATAAATCCCAACCTGGCACCTACTCAATCTTCTCTAGTTTATTCTCTCAACAGCATTATTGCTCTTTCCTTCAAGCCCTACAACCAATATGGATACTCAACAAGATGGAACAACTTACATCAAGTTACATCCCTCTACCACCTATGGGTGCTCGTCTAGATATACCTCCACTCGGGATTCTGTCCGCCAACAAGATACCAACAACTCCTTCTCCGTGGCAGCTTTATACTGCAAAAAGCTGGGCTCAAAGATTAAGGACGACATCGACCACTATGTCCACATAGGTACGAAGATGTTTGGCTCGGGAGGGTTCTCAAACGCAATTGGCGTCTCTGAAACTGGTGTCGCCAAGTTCCCTAAAATTGCTCCGGGCAGTGACGGATTCGGAAAAGGACTTCTATCGCGACCTGACCACCGAACTACGTACATGCCCGGTCGATCGAAGCACTCAGAGTAAACCCAAAGTTACCGCCGCGAACCGAATCACGCATCATGAGAAAAAAGGCGTCTGATCCGAAGACTTTCTGGGGGCCGGTGCCTGATCGCGATGCTATCCTGAATCTAGAGCCAGTTATACTTTTAGAAGACGCCGAAGACTATTTCGGCCGTGACTACCATGGCGACTCCTTCGATGAACGGCTGTGCCAGATTTACACCATGGTCCGGAATCCCGGGGGGGGGGGGGGGGGTAAGCGCCCTGTTTCCTTATCCACTGGCATGTACTGAGCGGCTTGAAAACTGGACTTCAATGTGGATTCAGATTGGTCGAGAAGGTTCATCGTAGCCGGAGAGTGAAGCGCGTGAAGTGATTGACCAGCTAGTGAGAGTTTGGGTCACCAGTTGCGTCTTCCTCATGTAGATGGTAGGTTTAGCTATCTTGATGTAGATCCGCATGATGTGTCTGTGACGATTGATAGATGCGATTGATACGGTCCCAGATGACTTCAATTACGAACGGGTTTAGATGGCATATTGCGTGTATATGTTTAACTATATTTTTCTTTACATGTAGTTAGTTTTCATTCCTGATAAATGGAAATTAAATATCTTCGATTTCTATGATTTCACTCCAGTATATTTGCGATCCCATAATCGAACTTGTATTCTTGGAAAAACTCACATCCTGTATTTTGATTCACCAGCGACCTCGTAAAGCTACATGACTCGCCGTCGTCACACAAAGACCCCCCAGTTGGTAATTACTTGGCGCATAGGGTATCACTCGCCCTTCTAAGCCTATCTCGGAGATCCCCGTGCTCGGTCGTTCCGCATGTAGCCACACGACAGACTAAATTCCGAGTATCGTATATAAGCCACATCCGACTTCCCAGCACTACCAGCTATCGTCATGGAGCTCTGTTTCCTTCTCTTTTCTGAACTGTCCTCCTGTTTTGATCGCGAGTGGTCAAGTAGGCAACATCAACATCGACTATGCAATCAGACCAGCCCACCGGGCTACGGACTTTATAACTACGTACGGAACCTACGTTTAGAAGCAGTTAGAGCTGGCGCATGGTATAACTTTGGGGGGATGATCCATACCGCGTACTAACTCAAAGACCAACTCAGATGCTAGGAGTCCCCGCTCCACCGACAAGCAGCCCAACGTCGACCAGGCCCTCTCCAACCTCTTTGGACATTGCCTCGCCTCTTCTATACACCTTTTGAAGTTCCGTAAGACATACATCTTAGTCTTCGAAGACCGAGGCCTAGGTGCTGCATGATCAACGAGCATCGTTTTCCTCCGCAACGACTACAAGTCTATCCCGCATCATGACATGGCCAAGCTTGCAACCTCCTCTAGGCCATCTGTATCTTCTCTCTCGAGTACCCCTCTATCTGCCTGCTCTTACGTCTGTGGTTTTCGTGGGCGATAAGGGATGGCCGGTCCTGAAGCTCTATGACAACGGGATGTATCCGGTTTATAGAAGTATGATCTTATTACCCCCCCCCCCCCCCAAAAAAAAAAAAAAAACTTCTTCAGGCTCTTTTCAAGGTCGTTTCCGTTTCTACGTACAGGAATGTTAGTTTAAATCTCATCTCTAGCTCTCCCTACCGCCTGCAAGTACTATCAGAGGGGGGTACTTACAAAGCCACAAGTTGCAGATTAATCCCATCTTAGCCCCCCCCCTCCCCCCCTTTTTTTTTGCAAGGGCTTCTAAGAAGTCCTTCCAACGTAGCCACTAGGCACCGGTAACCACTCCTCGGTAACTCTCCGACGGCGGCCTAGCCAGCCCGTCATCTGTTTTGTAGTAAGGATAGATGACCTTCTACAACTACCTCCATATTTTCCCCCATGGCTTTCGGAAGTCTCTTCATCCTATGCAGCGATGTTAGATACAAACGAAACATTTCTCTCTACAAAAATGTCATAGAGTGAAGGGAGATACGTACAAAAGATTCTGGACAAACTGCGTATCATGCTCTGGCTTGGGCGTTTTTCGTAGCTTTTAAAATTATGAAGTCTCCGACACGCAGATATAACCCTTCAATGGCTCAAAACTAACTCTTCACTACTCGTACAACTCCCGTATTGCCACCCAACATCTACCAGTAAGTGGCGGTATGTGTCATCTCCATAGGGAATAACCCATATGCATCAGACACTTGACGAAGCCCTTGCTCACTCCTACCACCTTACACGTCAGTTTAACTGCCAACCACCGAAAAACATAAAGGACAGGAACGTACAGCAGCCTAAGTGTACCGGGACACAATACCTTCACCATATCTGAATACTCGACATATAAAAATAGTCAAGCAGCTCATCCATCACCTCGTACTGCGACCAGGTAAGACAGTTGAGCCCCCAGATCCCACAAAGTGGTTATCATCACCATGCACAGTGATAACAACCACTATAAACCAAACCCCACGAGCCAAACCCCACGAGCCAAACCCCACGAGCCAAACCCCACATAAACCAAACCCCACATAAACCAAACCCCACATAAGCCAAACCCCGCAAACCAAACCCCACAAGCCAAATCCCAACGAGCCAAACCCCAATGCAAAATCCCACCGAGCTAACTATTTCCCAAAGAGCCAAATTACAACTCCCCCAGATGCTGCAACCCAAACTCCCCGAAAAACAGTCAACTCTATTGAGTGACAAAACAAATACCCAATCCCCAGCCAACGGTTCCGACGAAGACAGAGACCAGACACCCACTATGTCAACCCAAGAAGCCAACCAACCAACCAACCAGTCAGGCACAGAATCGTCATGCCGGCAATCGCAGAGTGATAGCTGTGCCCAACAATCCCACAAGCACAGAATCGTCATACCCATAAAAGGGCAGAGTGATAGCCGTGCATACCGCGGACAGTCCAGAACTCGTAAGCCATAGAGAAACGAACTGCCCACGGTATTGTATTGAGCCAAAAGGACTCTCTAGTCTAGGCCCAGAACTCCCCAAAGTTTAGGCCCAAACTAAAGAGTCAATCCCCCTCCACACAGTAAAATCTCACGCATTAATGTTATAATTTTTATCTATTGAAGAAAAAATAATTTTAGTGAAGGAAAAATAATCAAAGTAAATAAATAATCGAGAAGAAGGGATACTTAGCTTGTTGTTGAACCGACTGAAAAAGAGACGTCGATCCGAAATAAAATAAAAATAAAAGAAGTCCGTACTAGACGGAGAAGGGGGGGGGGGGGGTAAGTAGATTTGTGTTTTTGGTTTTTTGGGGAAGTTTTTTTGGGGGGGCAGTGTTGGGGGAATTATAAGTTTGGGGGGGGGGTGAGACATAGCGTTTGGTACAGGATATATGTATAAAATAATTAATAATGAAAAAAGGAAATTCTAGCTTCGTACCACTTGGCTCTGGGCAGCATCCCAGAGCCAAGTTTTTGTTTTTTGGTGATTGTTTTAGGTTTTTTTGTGTTTTTTTGTGATTGTTTTTTTAGGTTTTGTTTTTTGGAGTGGGGGGTAAAATAACTTTCTGGGGAAGTGCGGATAGACATAGGTTTCGAGACAAAGTTGATAAATATAAATAAGGAAAGGAAAAAAAAAAATTGGAAAAAATGAAATGTAAAGACAGGACGGGTACAAAAAGACCCAATTGACACACCGACACACCGACACACCGACACGTACTGAGAGCCCGAAGGCAAAAACGAAAGACACCCCTTTGAAGGGACATCAATCAAGGCTAGCCATGGCACGAAGGCCGAAAAAAAACGTTTGGTATTTTTTTAGGTTTTTGTGGGGTTTTCCGTAGAGAAAAAATGAAATGGTAACTTAGCTGTTCAAGTTCACATCAAGTGACACAAGTCCCGCAGGCAATATCCAGAAAAAAAGAATAAAAAAAAGGAGGGAAAGAAGAAAAGAAGGTAATGAAGATCAAAAATCAAAGTCCTAGAAGACAAGTTATCACACGAGGGCGAGGGGGGGGAAAGGTCAGCCCAGCGAATATAACGTGCAGCTAAAGAGTGCAGTCTAAAGCCACACATCACTGGACCACCTGCCCCCCCCCTCAGGGGGGTTGATTATTGTTCACGGTTATACGTACGTATACCTACCACGCGCCCCACAGAGAGAAATGTTGTCAAAAAAAAAATCCAGAGTCCAGGTCCAGTCAGTCCAGTTCCAGTTCCAGTTCCAGTCCAGTCCAGGTCCAGTTCCAGTTCCAGTTCCAGTCCAGTCCAGTACATCACATCACATCACACCACATCACGATTTCAAGATTATACGTACGTTCATTCCACCCATCCCATAGTCATTGTGCAAAGTTTTTCAGTCACTCGAGATAATACGTACGTTCATTTTTTCCACCCCTCGGTGGGCATTTCCTACACAGTGTGATCAACCGTGAGGTGTGAAGCTTCTGTGCAGGTCCACCGCACACCTCTGGTTTGTCCACAGAAGAAAAAAAAGAAGAAGAAGAAAGCATGTCAGTTAGTCACAGTTATACATACGTCCATGAGGCCCCCGCGGTGGGGGGCATCGATGTGTGGTGAGAAGAAGAGAGTCGTGATCAATCGAGAGGTGTGAAGCTTCTCTGCAGGCCCGCTGCACACTTCTTGTTTGACTACGGAGAAAGGAGAGAGAGAGATCAGTAAAAAAAAATTAAGGTTATACATACGTCAATGTAGTGTTGATGTGTTGATGAAGACTTTGTTGTCGAAAAAACATTTTGTCGTTGTTGTTGGTGGGGTAAAAAAAAGTGTGTTGGTGGAAAAAAAGTTTGTTGGTGGGGAGAAGAAGGAAGAGAAAAAAAAAAGTGGGGGGAAGGGCCTCTTTAAATACCTATAGGCAGGCGGGGCAACTGTGAAAATTGGGGGGGGGGGGGGGGGGAGGTAAACAATGGGTTGGGAGGGGGAACGCGCAATCGCGAGTGATATTCCATGATTCTCCACCCCCAAGTGCCAAGATTCGGAATTTTTACCCCACCACAACAGAACAGCAGCGACAGAAGGGCCTTAGTGGGGTGTTTACATCGATGTGTGTACCTAGTTGGGCAGAAATCTTTCTCTATGCGGCAAAAAAGGGGGAGGGAGAAGGGGTGGCATGTCGCTGCTTACACTGCGACCTTCAACCACATGTACATGTAGCTCTGAACCATCAACCTGCGAGCTCAACGTAGATGTACCCACCCACAGCTGCGTGTAATCACCGCCTAGCTACTACAACACAACATCCTTTACTCGTCCTCCCTCCCCAATTGTCTGCCCACACCAACCCTCTCTGCTCGTTTCCACCAACAGTCTACCCCCACCAATGTCAACACTGTAACCCAGGTAACCACATACTATCAGTACCACCACCACCACCTCCCACGTAAATCCTATCCCTCTACAATCCCCATAAGCTCCTACAATACAAACAGACCTCACAGACCTCACAGACCTCTTGCTCCTCTCCCTAGATACCGGTGAAAATTCTCTGTTGCCGACACACACACACACACACACACACAACCCCGCATATATCAGCTTAATCCTGTGCAAAACATCTTTGTAAATATTTACAAAACATATATATATCTACCAAGAGAAGCTGAGCTACTAGATGCCAATATAGCGTCTTATTTCGAGTCTCTGAGCTCAAGCCACTGTAGGTTGAGCAACTCATATAGCTAGCTCAATGTTGGAACGAAAAGGCTGTCTTTCCATCACTTCATACCCAGCCAGCAGACCGGCACATCACTCCACTTCCCAGACCCTCAAGCTCCACTTAAAGATAAAAAAAAATATCCTCGATATACCCCAATACCGCATCTTCCATAGGTCTCACTCGCTGAGTAGTAGAGAAATGATCTCCGCCCACCCTGCATCTGATTCGCCCTCCGAAACCCCTGCCTGCATGCTGCAGCTGCATGCAGGTCAACACTCGACGACAGGGAATCCATACCTGCGCCTCCTCTTAGCCCCGCAACCACCAGAACCTCCACATAGCTCTGCTCCAAACCAATTCTCCAGAACATTCTCTCCATCTTTTAACCACCTCGAATACCCTCACCCCCCCCCCCCCGATGGCCGAAGCAATAGGCGTAATCTCCGCCGTCCTCGGCGGTGCCGACGTCTGCCTCCGGTATCTCTCCCCTCCCCCCCCCCCCACTGGAGAACCCCCCACTAACCTCCCATTCAGCACCGGCCGAAGCCTCTACCAGCGCTACCGAAACTACAAAGACGCCGAACAAGACCTCAAAGACCTGACAGTGCTGCTGAAGAACCACTGGCTCAAAATCGAGGCCAAGCTCGGTCTCATCAAGGATCTCCAGGACGTTCTCGGCGAAACCCTACACCAGCACTTCACCGAGCTCTTCGAGATCCTGATCCGCAAGTTGGGAGAAGCCCAACACAAAATTGAGTCAGTGGACCGCAAACAGGGCCGTCTAAAACGTGCCAAGTTCGCCGCGCTGGTCAAGGAGTCGCTGGAAGCCGCCATTACAGAGCTAGATAAATGGCAGGCCCAGGTGGAGCTGCCGTATTACCTCATGGCGCGGATTAGTAACCCGCGCGTGGACGAGAAGCTGGCGGCGGTGACGCAACGGTCAAGGGGGGACACAAAGGGAGCTGAGGAGATTAAGCGCTTGCGCGACACGATGAAGAGTGAGAGCGATGGAGGAGGGACTACACCACGCGGCGGTGAGGGCGGCTGGGCAGGGAGAGGGGGAAAGAGCTGTTGGGTAGAGGCATCGAGGCTGAGTGACGGTGGGCGGGTGGTTGATCCGTACGCTAGCTCGGAGCTCAAGCTCGTCAAGCTGGCCGGCAAGGAGTATCTCGCCGACATCATCTTGATCAAGAACCTCCCCGATGAAGGCCAGATGGCGATGGCGGGGATCCGGGACGTGGCACGCATCCTCGCGCAGTCGGAGCCTTTAACGTTCGGCATCCTGAAGTGCTACGGCGTGGTGAAGGAGTTGCGAAACCACAAGTCAGAGATAGTTTTCCAGGTGCTCTTCTCGATCCCGGACAAGCTGGACCAGCCCCGCAGCCTCCGCAGCTACCTGACCGCCGCACAGGACGAGCGGCGGACAAAGTATCCTCTGAACGAGCGTTTCGCGCTGGCAAAGAGGGTGGCACGGAGCGTCATGTTTGTACACACGTCCAACCTTGTGCACAAGAGCGTCCGGCCAGACACAATCGTGCTATTCCAGGACAGAAAGTCTCTGCTAGGGGTCCCGTTTCTCGTGGGCTTCCAGAAGATCCGCCCTGCGAGTGGGGCGACAACGATGGTTTCGGATGCCGAGTGGGAGAAGGACCTGTACCGGCATCCAACAAGGCAGGGGCTCAAGCCAGAGGATACGTACAAGATGCAGCACGATATCTACAGTCTCGGGGTCCTCCTACTCGAGATCGGCCTCTGGACTTCGTTCGTGCACTGGAACGGGGAGCACAAGCGTTTTGAGCCGGGCCCGGAATTGAAGGTGGATGCAGACACGCTGGCGATGAAGGATGTTAAGAGGAAGGCAAACATAATCAAGGGTCTTCTGCTGAAAATGGCGATGGAGTTGCTGCCGGGGGCGATGGGGCCCAAGTATGCGGAGGTGGTCATCTCGTGCTTGACGTGTCTAGACAGGGGGAATGACAAGTTTGAGAGCGAGGAGGGCCTGGTGGACGAGGATGGCATCGTGGTGGGTGTGAGATATGTCGAGATTGTGAGTAGTTTTCCAGTGCTGTGGTTGAATAGATGCGGGCTGTTACTGACGAGATGGGGTTTTTTTGTGGCGGTGTATTAGGTTGCGATGAAACTAGAGGAAATAGAGGTCTGAAGCTCATTCACGGTGTGTTCTTTGGTTATTTATACAGGTTGTCTCAGCACAAAAGTTTGGGTAGTTTTGCAAATTTGGCATTTTCGAGCGAGCATATATGTGTCCTTTCTCATGAGCAAACATTTCCTTTCACGTCCACAATCGATTATAGGTGGTAAATGGAGAGAGAGTATTTATCAACTGCCAATTTCATTAATTGTCGCTTGAAAAATTGACTACTTGTACGTAGTGCGGGAGGCAAAACTGACGGTTCCCCTCAGTGGCCAAAAGAAATCCGGTTGACGGTGTAGCAAAAGAAACCGAAACACGCTGGCAGGGCACAGAGGCAATATTCTAAGCTGGAGAGCTCGGGCAACCACCAAAGCGATTTAGATAAATCTGCTAGATTTTCAATACTATGTACCACATCACAAACTATAACATCAAAAGCCAACATCGAATATTGCAATTAACCACCAAAACGTGGTATCACAAGAAAAAATGTTTATTATATTAACCATTTCCGTGTCTTGGCAGCAATCCAGAGTAGTTGTAATATTGTGATATTTTTTTCTCTCGGTATATCTCACAGTATGAATGCACCCCCCAAAAGCGGCACCTCTCCACTAAAATCCAAAGTTGATAGTTTCGACTGCCAGTTTTTAGTCCCCATAAATCTTCTCTCTTTCTTCCCGTCGCTCTGCTACTGGTTCGAGTAATAACGTAGCGATGTCTCTTGGCATGTCTACTACAAGTAGAGTGCTAGACTAGACTACATCATATGTACATGTATATACCATTATGGAAACCGCCCTGCAGCACTCCACGCTAAGCACATACATAGCAATCCCCACTAGAGGCTACTGCTACCTGCTACCATTCTAGACACCTCATTCTTTTTCCAAATATATTAATATTCTGCGTTATCCAGACCGCCGACCTCTAGTCTTCACTCTCTAATATATTTCCACCGCTCTCCCACAGCCCTAATGATATTCCAGCACCTGCAGGGAGCCGCGTACTCCCCCACTGCAACCCCAACCACAACCGAGGCCCCCAGCACCGAGTGACAAATCATGACTCACCCACACCCCAACCCATTCCGGTCTCCCCGCATGTCCATATATATAACCAGGTTCACTGCACTCAATATTTCCCGTCCACGATTGTTCATTCCTATCGAGAGTCAGTAATGAAGCTAGCACGAGTAAGACAGTAAGTACATGTAAGTTAATTATAAGTGAGGTTGCCCTGCGCTTTACCCGTACTGGCAGCAATATAAATTCGCTTAGAATGCAGGATAGCTCACTGGCTGGCTACACGGCCGATAGGCGATTTTTGTGCGAGCTTAGGGCGGCTGAATAGAATACGGCGGGCCTGGGTGCGGGATCGAGGGTGAACCGGGTTTTGCTTGCATTGCGGAAAGAGAAGGGGGGGGGGGTGAGTGTATATTGACAGAAGAAACGTTTTCGTGACCAAACATATATCAGCCGGACGATCCGACATAAGCTTCATATCTATAATGCATGGCGTAATATGATCTGCTCTCGTGTTTCGCATGTGTTGATAGATAGACCACCGTGCAATGTGTAATGTCGTGTCGCAGTATTCGTGTCGTTTGTACAAAGATTTATGGATCTCTGTGTACCCATACCCAGTCCTTGTGTGTATATAGGAAACACGATATCTACGACGACGATTAGCTGTGCCAAACACAGCAGGCTTCCCATAACTCAACACCCAGCCAGTTATCAGACGATCTGACAGCCACTGTTATTCCAGCTAGCTCCGTAATATAAGTTCCACATAGTACAAATAAATCTGGGGACCCATCGAGCAGAAGACAGCTGACAGAATTAAATCCTTCTTCACACCCTTAGATACATGCTACACACCTTGTGCGTGCCCCTCCAGGTATATACTGACTGGTGACCATAACGCGACTTTTCGTATTCGCCTTCATAGTTAAGCAGCCGTTTCCAGTCGCGCTCGGTTAAAAATATGCAGGGCAAACACGATCAGGAAGCATGTTTGTCTATTCTAGCCAGCACAAACTAATCTCGGAGATGCAGTTTAAAAAAGAACCCGAAGCTTCATGGCGTCATGGCCACCTACATTACTACGTCCTGGAAATGGGAATTTAATTCCAATACGTCTTTTGGAAAGGTAGCTGGTATCTGTCCGTGTTATCGATAGTCGATCGGCAGTGTCAACTTTAGTTGAGTTCGCCCGGTAGTAGGTGCTATACTCAAACAATCTACAGGCTAGTAGTTTACATCTGAAACACGACATCGAGAATTGCGACAGCGCTCACGACGCCGGTCGAGACTCTCCAGAAGACGAATTTCAGCTGGATGAACTCTAGGCTAATTTCCTTCAAATTACAAATTATGTGCCTTATCCTTTTTTTGTTGCTAGGAATGTTTGTAGCCTCGATGGTCAATGTGTGTAGCGCATGTCGTACAGGGCTTATCCCTCCGGTGAGACATCTTCAACCCAGCATCAAGCCTCAAACACAGCACAGGCCAACCCCGTGGTACAAAAAAATGGGGTTTACTGTAAACCACGGTGGGGTTTACTTTGTACACCACCGCGGTGTTTACTGTAAACCCCACAGTGGTTTACTTGTGGCCTCGGTTGCGGTGTGCACTTGGTATGTAGGTAAACTCCACAGTAGGTTAGGTAAACCCCAAGTAAACTCCACAGTAGTTTACTTTAAACTCCACAGTAGTTTACTTTAAACTCCACAGTAGTTTACTGTATACTCCACAGTGGTTTACTGTATACTCCACAGTGGTTTACTGTATACTCCACAGTGGTTTACTGTATACTCCACAGTGGTTTACTGTATACTCCACAGTGGTTTACCTACACCCCAATTTACCAGGGACTACGCGTATCGCGTTCTATATAATAATATTGCTCGATCCATTTTTATCGATATTAATATTAATATTATAATTATATATCCACCCAGATCCGTTTACATTTATTTTGTACTAAACGAGATCGATCCAGCTATCCACCTCTATTAATAATATAAGTATCCATCATGAAAAATCAAACCCATAAAGTATATGCGAAATTCCTATTAACTCCTAGTCATGAAAGAAACCCCTATCGACCCCCCAATCCTCCGTTAGATGCCGGTGCACATAACTCCTATTGATGTTGGTATATCTATTAATATGACGTCGCCCGAATTAAAATATTATTCGCTTATTCGCCGAGTAAATGCAGGTAAAAGAATGCCCAGTATGAAATGTATTCGTGTATAGTCTAGATCTACTTGAATTGTTAGGCGATAACCGAGTCAGGTGTCTTGAAACATACCGTTCATTATTGTTTTAGTAATCCCAATCGTTTAGAGTGCGAATTCTTCTCGCTTGCGCTTTAGATTTTGCCTGGATACCGCAAGGCTATTAGCTGCTTCCTTCAATGCCTTATCGTCCAAGGCTTGGACTGCTTTAATACTTCTTTTGATGGCTCTCCCGCTCGAACTCTTGGCAGTGGCATTGGAGGTAGTTGCATTGGAATTGGTAGTCTTTGCGGCACCGGAACTGTTCGAATTTCGCGTCTTAGAGGCCATAACCGGATCCTTATGGATAGAAGTCTTACCCTTTCCGGCCGCTGGACCACGGCGGCGCAGAGCTTGGATGCCCTGGGTCTCTGGAATCTGGGGCTCCGGAATCTGAGACACCGGAATCTGGGAATCCGGAATCTGGTATCCAGTCATCTGCGCACGCTTCGCTCTCCCCTTTTTGGGCTTCGTCCCAGCATCAACTGACAAAATGGCTGGATCTACTGCACTGGTATCCATAACCGCCTGTTCCAGACCCTATTATAGTGTTAGTGGTCTTTTCTGTGACAAAGGGTGGGGTACGTACCCAATCAGCTGCATCTTCATCAAACCACGATTCATCTACAACCCTCACAGTTGCCCCAGCTTCGCCACATATCCGGACGAGTTTGACCCAAGCACTTTGAACTCCGACAGTCAACCATTTCCTGCCCGGACCTGCCTCATTGGGGAGGTATACTAAGAATTTGTCGTCGGGGATTTCAACACGTTGAGCAATGCGCCTTTCAAATTCTTCGTATGTAATGTTGGTAGGAACATACGTAGGCGAGAACCCAATCATTCGGATGGGTATGTAGGCCGGTGTGTCGTTACCATGAGTTTGTGAGGGGGGTGGTGAGCGATTGGGTAGCGGTCGTGGTTGAGTCTCCGGAATCGAAACTGTTAACTCTTCGGGTTTCTGAAGCTCCCTCAGGACTGTATTTTGATGAATTTGAGTGCTCTGTGAACCTCCCTTTGCCGTTGAACCTTTACCTGCCAATGGAGACATTGTGGACGATGGACTGGTTTCGGTGGTGGTACACAACTCGTACGCTGCAACACTGTTAGGTACCGACTCAGTTGGGAGAACTCCTGTTTCTGTACGCGTAGCTGTAAGAACCACATTAGGTAGTTGGTTATGGTTAGGCTTGTCCGCTCTCATATGGATGGGGGTGACAGGATTCTGGCGGACAGGGGAACGCGAAATATCAGCGACACGGGCTCTAACAGAATCGATCGCTGTCGCTGCTTTCTGGCTAATGAGGAATTGGCGAGGATCATTGTATGTATCCAAGTTCTCCTCATCTCCACCCTCTTCATCATCATCATCTTGGTCCACCCCATACCCTTCTTCCTCTCCGCCATCTCCGCTATAACTATTTTCGTCTTCATCGTCTCCGTCATTATTATCGGCCTGTTCGTGAACTGTGGCGTGAGGTTGGACGCTAGCTGGTTTGTCGATAATTGCAGCTCGCTTCATCGAAAGGGGTAACTTATCTTGTTTCGGAGTAGTGGCTGCCATATTGGCTGCTGCCGCCTTTTTCCGTTCTCTCTCCAATTTTCTTTTAGCCAGGGCATTTTTATTCCGAATTTTGTCGATGCATATGGCGTGAATCAGGTCTCGGACCAACTCTTGAGTCCACCATTCGCCGTGTAACTTCGCCATATCGGGGGTGACGTTCCGTATAAGCTGAAACATTTTAGTATCACGGAATGCTTCGAAATTTCGATCAAGGCGATAGCCTCGCCTCAAACAAAGCATTCTCATGTCGGCCCGTATATCCCGAACTTGGTCCTTGATAGCTCCGTTCTCGGGGTTAAGGTTCATACGCTTGCGCAGTCTTTTCCGATTTTTGTATAGGCGATGCTCCTCCTTTTTGTCTGCTGCGTTGCCTGGTGCTACCTGGGATGATAGTTGGGATTTGGTGGACGGATTAACTTCGTCGTTAACGTTTGGCATCGCGGCAGTCTTGCTGGGAGCGGGATTTTTTTTTTTTGCTGGTATTGGCGTGGGTTCCTGTAGGTCGTCATTGTCGCTGTTGTTGTCAGAATCGGAATAGTCGTCAGGTGTTGCACGCTGTGATTTCCGACTTGCCGAGTGGGGTGTCTGCGGGATTGGATCTTCGTAGTAAGAGGTTTTTTTTTTTGATTTTTGCGGTTTATTTTTAGGTCCCGATTCCCGCGGTGGCTGACCCTTTCCGCTTTTGGTTTTCAAAACTGGAAGAATGTGAACAACGATAAGAATTAACGGAGGCGGGAATCTGACTACTAACCAGTTGGGGCATCGCTAGATGCTGCTGACGCTTTTTTGTGCTGTCCTTTCATCGCAAACCAATGCTTCATTTGCTCGTTCATGAACGCCTGGAGTTCAGGGTCGTTGAAAGCATTGACATCCATGGCCAAAAAAACTGTATGACGGCGGAATGTGGTGATATATAATATGGTGGGGGGGGGGGGTTAAGAAGATGTGTACTGGTGATGGGATCAAGATGCGGCGGTGTGGGTGTTCAGGGGGAGGTGACGTTGAAAATTTAGCGAGAAACCAGCTCGCCAAGATAGAACCTAACCGCTTTCGTACTAAATTCTTCGCTAGTTAACCTACAACAGACTAGTGTATTGAGTAATAATATAATCTTTGCTATCGTTTTTTTATAATCCCAATGAGCTGGCGAATTTGGGTGACCTCAATGACTTCCTTGGAGCCTACGCCAACCTTTCGAAGAAGTCTGTCCTCTAATACCGCCTCAATCGGCTCGATGTAGGCGAAGTACAGCGGAATATTCTGTTCTTCACCGACATCAACATCGATATCTTTCATCAAACGAACCATATCGCCTCTATTGATCGAGAAGAAAAACAAAACCTCACAATAGCCACTAAATAACGTTGCATCTGACAATACCTCATAACGAACCATCGAAGAGCTTCTTGTTGAATTACCACGCCTCAGCTGGGATGAGACCACCGTGAATATATTGTTAGCCGGGTCTTTAGACGTGAAGGAGGCCCATCGGATACAGTCCCTCGGAGTTGTTATGTAAGGCACCGCAGTATCATCAAATCTCTGGTAAAAAAAGCTCCGTAATGCTTCTCGCTGCCACCTATTTAAAACGCCAGATCTTTGTGGGGGACGTAGCCCCCCAGCAGTCGAATTTTGAAGAATAGGGCCATTACGAGTTAGTCTTTTTGCAACCAGGCGGTGTAATAATAAAGCTCCGTCCGCATCCTCAGCCTCGGCTGCCATATTAAAAATATTCTGTGGTAATACGTAGGGTATATGATTCCGCTGCTCGTTCAATAGCATCGTCAAACCCATGTTTCTATTTGCACATACTCTGGACTTTGCGGACGCTGCTATCATCCCACAGACTCTTTCCATCGGCCATTGGGAGTATACGTACATGGGGCCCAGCCAGCGAATCGCTTGAGCTACGTGTAGCACCTGGTGAATTACCGGCAGGCATGATGAGAGCCTTTCCCAAGACCTCCCATAGTATCGATTCTCGTAATAATGTACAAACCTCCGTAGACGCTGTTCTATCACAGGAATCTCCCCTTCGGCTATCATATTATCTACGGAGAGGCGCACGGCATCGATCAAGTTGAGGAACTCAATGTAGTCCACGTCCGGCAGTCTGCCCTTCATGTATATAGGCGCCATGAGAAGTGTGATGTTTTTCCACTCTGCTGCTTTGAGGCGCTGGCAATGTTCGGCAAAATCGCGAATAGGCTCTCCAAATGATGCTGGAAATGTTGCTGCGCTACTGGCCATGTCCTTTCCTATTCTTAACCACTCGTTCGGTGCAATATTATATTCATCATTGGTTTTGATGAATTTTTTGGCTTCTGCAGGGCCCCGCTTGTTTGCGACAGATGGCACGCCAGCCCTGCGCCCACTCCGGCGACGTTGGGATCCAATGTTCTCTTCTGGGTAAGCAGATTCAGTTCCCCGGCGGTGTTGAGAAGCGGGGCGCTCTTCCGGATCGGATTCAGTATCAGCATCGTAGACGGGTGCATGTTCTGAGTCCTCGCTGACAGGTGCCCCATGAGTGAATTTCCCCCGCCAATGGCGAAATAGATCTGGAATGACGTTTTCCCACCAAAGATGCATGCCATCGGGAGGGAAGCTCCTTGGGATGTCGATAGCCACCAACCCCGCGAGACAGCTCGGACCCTTGATACCATATTTCTTGGCATTCTTTTCGTCGCCAGTCTCTACCACATGGTCGGCAATCTTACGGGAACCCTCGTCTGTGCGCATAGGCAGATTTGCGGCATCGTAAGATTTCCAGCTCTCAATTACCTCCCTCTTGGTGCTCGGAGGGGGTTTAGGGGCGGGTTAAGCGGGCAGTATATGCCTCTATTATGAACCCCGTGAATATAGCAATATGGACAGTAGCTGGTACCCCGGTTACCTTTGAAATTCATTAATTTCTCACGGCCAGGCATGTCAGCAGCAATGATACAAACATGTGCTTTTAACGTAAAATATGTCTTCCGAGCACCGTTCCAGACATACGGCACCCCTTTCTCGAGCTCCTTTAGCTCCTTAACAAGAGGAAAGAGGAAAGAATCTAGGTCTTTCGGATTATTGGGCCCGGGTATAAAGCCAACTAACAGCATATTACGCTTCTTAAACCTCTGCTTGGGTGGCATGTTTAAATTCATCTATAATTATTGTCAGCGCTGTATGCTCATATATGTAGATGTATAATTAGGTATATCATCAATACTAACCAATAGAATTGGCCAGATGCTAAAGTTTCTTCGGCTTTTGAACACCCGTACACCATCTGTACTCAACAATAGGCCAATATCAGTATCCCTAGAAAAGTGCATTTTCTTCTCCTCGAACAAATCACTCGACCAATAATCACTTCGCTTCCCCCTTTGCCGGTCCTGCTCGGCCATGTGGCGGTACGACGTCATTAAATGCGCGGTCTCCGAGTTCGAGTAAAGAAGCCGCAGGCGGTGCGTAATCGGTATATAACCATGAGTTGCATAGGGCTTTTTTTTGGAGGCTTGCGAGCCAGCTGCAGTGGGCTTCCACCGAGGGTGCTGACATATCATGCATTCTTCCAACTCGGGGTACATCGCATAGGATATATGACTGGATGGGCAACAGTCGTAGAGGATCTCTTTGATACCAGTCAGCTGCTGGATTCTTTTTCTTGTCGTACGATAATCCAGTAACTTTACATCGTTCGCAGCAGAGAATAGTTCAGAAGTGGCGCTTGCACCATCCCTGGGAATTCTGTACTGCAAGGCAATATCCTGCATTGCCAGGGACAGCAATTCCTGCTTTGTTGGTGGATCGCGGAGAGGGTCATTGAAAAGAAAGGTATCGTCTTCCTCTTCAACAACGTCGTCCTCCTCTTCAAGTAATACCTCAGCTCCAGGAGTCGATTCAAAAATATCAGATTCCGAGCTAGATTCAAATATAGCCGTGTCGTCATCCTGGACTTCTACAAGGCCTCGACTCATCTGGCCGACTGGTCCTGACCTGTCACTATCACTAAAAGGCCCATCCTCGTTTGCTTCATCAACATCAGCGACATCCTCAATGGATTCCAGTTCAGAAGGATAATCATGCTCCTCGATACCGATATCCATCAGGTCATTTGAGATGTCGTTGAATTCAAAACCAGGAGAAGAATGCGGAACTTGACTCTCGTCTGTACCTCCCGGCTGGGGGGGTTGGGTTGGTGAAAGGAATACGTCATCAGGATCATAATGGATATTAGGTGTAGAGGAGCTCGAGTTTATCATGGAATCCGAAAGAAAACCTCGAGATTCGTTACTGGTGTGTGACCTAGGCGAAGTTGCATCTTCATAGATATCATCGTCGTCCATCAGATGTACGGGTAAGATATCCTCTGCAATCCTATCGGGTGAAGAACTTATGTCGGCGTCTGGGGAAGGTAAGTCTTCATCAGCGGAGGGTACAGGCGAAGGGGCATCTTCATCATAGTGCACCGGGAGATCATCTGGGTCATCCTCTGATGAATGTTGATTCGGGGCTGGGGGTGGCGCATTCGAAAGATGCGCACCGAAGGTATTTCGCAGAATATCCCTTCGTTTAAGAGCCTGATGTCTGGCCCACTCCTGTTGATTGGTGACAAGATGAGCAATCCCCCCATGCATGGAGCAGTCGCAAATGACCCTCATCTTTTCGATGTAATGACGTTGTTGAAGTGGTGCTGTTGATGGTCTAATTGTGGTGTTCGAATTCGTCGAATTATTCCGGTGTTGATTGGAAGTGCGCGCGACGTCACACACATACAATTATCTATATATATATGTGGGATTGAAGTAAACCCCAGGTACACCCCATGGTGGTTTAAGTAAACCCCAAAATTCTAGCGAGGAAAGATAAACCCCAAAGTGGTTTAAGTAAACTCCAGGTAAACTCCAGGTAAACCCCATGGTGGTTTAAGTAAACCCCAAAATTCTAGCGAGGAAAAGATAAACCCCAGAGTGGTTTAAGTAAACCCCAAGTAAACCCCATGGTGGTTTAAGTAAACCCCAAAATTTTAGCGAGGAGAATTTTCAACTCCGTGGGGTGTACGTAAACTACCCTGGAGTTTAAGTAAACTACCCTGGAGTTTAAAGTAAACCCCACCTATGTGCATGCGTGTACCACAGGGCAACCAATGCCAGACAGAGCCTCAAGCGATGCAAACCCTCCAATAGCCACACGCACATAACGAGAGGATGCAAAGGGCATGCACTCCCGAAACTGCTGCCCCAACTACCGCCGTTCTCCCTTCCCCAGACGGGGAATATCATCTGATGTCGCGTGAGTTCAGGGTCCAGGAAATTCCAGCTACAGGGATCATTGGCCTGTCGAGTGCCCGATGAAGATAACGTTCAGGGATCATCCCGCGTTAGACGTTCTTCTGGAATCATACGACGTTTTCCCTTCCTTTTTTTTCTTTCTTGCCCCCCGTGTTTGATTTGCTTTCGTGTTCTAGAGCTGATGATCTCCGGTGGTTTCCGATATGTGCAAAGATTCTGAGCTCCTCTTGCCGAGGATCGAGGGTAGAGGGGAGTGGCCTGTCGCTAACTTGTTCATAGTGTAATTGGAGCGGTAGTTCTAGTAGCTATTTGGTAATATCGGTCTTGATTTTTTTCTCCTCAGGATGATCGGAGCCGGACCACGTAGGAACTCAATTGAGGGTATATATAGGATTGCGCTGATCACTGTTCTATCCTTCTTCTAAGCTGGGGATATTTTGGCTGGAGATGCTCTGGAGACGTACCGCAAGAATATTCTACTTACCTATAGGTTATCCGTCCGGGTGTGTTTGATCTTCTTCGTGCATCTACTACTTAGCTTGTTGGGACTATTGTTACTATTCTTATTATTACCTTTCTTCTTCTACTACTTTCACTACACCCTTTAATCCCGAACTTCAAAAACATCTTCATCATGGATAGCACCTGGGCAGACTACCCTTTTCCTCTCATCTCCACTCCAGCCTGCGACATTGGAGTAAGTTCATTAGTCATTCCCCCCCCTTCTCCTTTTTCTCCATCCTTACTAACCGCCTCATAGTACACTAATCAGTTTATCAAATCCGCCTCCAAAATGGCCTTGACTCACAACATCATAATCCGCGGAATGAACAGCATCTATCTCCAATGCATGCATATTACGCCTTACAATGCTGCAGACTTCATAACGTACTGCCAATGCTGGGCCGAATTCATCCACAACCACCACGAATGCGAGGAGGCCGCTTACTTCCCTCTTATTGAGAAGGCGGTTGGAAGCGAAGGCATGGCAGAGGAGAACATTGAACAGCATGAAGCATTCATGGGCGGGTTGAATGATCTCGACGCCTACCTACGACGTGTGGACCCGTACAGCTTTTCCGGCAGTGTGGTGCTACAGATCTTGGAAAGCTTCGCTGCCAAGCTGCAGATGCACTTGACAGACGAAATCGTATGGATCCAGAGTCTAGCGACGAAGTATCCGACGTTGAACCTAGCCGAGATTGATATACGCCATGGAGCATATGTAGGGGGCCGGTCGACACGGACGAGGGTGCTACCGTTCTTTCTCACAAACCATGACAAGACATATGAAGGCGGCATTCATTCCTGGTGGCCGACGGGAAACAAGATCAGAGACTGGTGGCTGCGATATATTTGTACGCTGGTGTACTCGGGAGCATGGAAATTCTCGAGTTGCTCAAAAGGTGGCAAGCCAAAGAGGTTGGAAGGGATTAGGAGAGGGGGATTGATACAGGAGGCGCCACAGGAGAGGGGGGAGATTGGGGAAGTAATGGAGATGGCGCCGAAGAGACCAGAGGCGTCAATTAAGATCCAGACGAGAACAAACACAGATTGGTGAGTGTAATGGATTCTTTGGGTATTAATGGCGACACGGTGCTATGAGCTTTGGGAATTGGAGTAAATCTATAAATGTACAAAAAAAAATGATTTCAGTCAGAGACGGGTATCGGCTGTATAGCTTGGTGTTTTTAGATGATAGTACTTGGGAGATCTTGTAATTACTGAAGCTTTTCTTCTCTCATTTAGTTTCTTTAGTTTTGGAGTACGAGTCGAGTGACGTTTTATGACCAATGTAAATAAATCTTGCAACTCCTAATCAGCTAGTTAGTCAGAATTCCACTATATCTCAGCCCCGTGTTTTAGATTTGATTTCTTTTGAATGTAGGTTACCTGATCGAGTAGTGCTGTCTCAACACCCGGCAAGACCTAGCCGGCCATTTCGTTGGGAAGCATATGCCAACATTAATGCCCCACCAAAAACAATCATGTCCTCATGAATTAATCACCACATCTCGTCCAGAAATCTCACGATCAACTCTTCAGATGTGATCCCTAACCCGTTACATCCCGGAGTCCTATCTCACTCAACCATCTCGCCCCTGCTTCTTCATCCAAGCTTCAAGCACAGTCCCTGGATTCACACGTCACAACCATTCCGGTGGTAAGACCACCTCTACCCCTGAACAGGTTATCTTTAATTTCCACGTGGGCTTTAGGCGTCTAAGCCGATTCTTCTCGAATACTTCCTTTTGCAACGGGGTCGGTGCTTAGGCGGGCCGAGCGGATAATTTGGTGCATGGTAGGGAATGCCTTGCTTGCTAGTTGGTAACTGAGACTACACTTTAGGCTGCTTGTATCTCTTCCCAGCTAGGACGACACGACTATGCCGACCGATATCGGGCTGCCAGGAAAGCCTGTATATCCCAACTTAATTCTGGGCCGATATGTCCTGTCAGATCTCAAGCGCTTTGTGGTCAGCGAAAGGAAATATAATTTTATCCTCCATGAGGCCAGTTTAAAAACGAACATAACATGCAAATACCCCCCCCCCCCTCTATTCACTCCACTGAAAATCTTCTTGAACCACAAATCCAGAGTTCGTAGCTCTCGAAGAACGGTGTCTATGGATTTGGGAACCTGCCCTAAAGAGACCTCCAGGGGACCTTGATATACTTTGGCCGGGAGTCCAGTTACTCCTACCTTTGGGAGTTAGATCTATCTTTTGTCATTTGCAGTTCCCTTTTGAATTGGGCTATTATATGGGTAGAAGATAATGGAACTCAAGGGAGAATATACCCATATAGATATAGCCAGAAAGATTATAATTCAGGTTAGGAGCCTCGTAATGAGAAAGTAGATGAAAAGGGTTCCCTCCAGTTTCCCCTTGGTTTGCTTTATTGGCTGCTTACGGAGTGCGTCTTCTCTTCAAGGCCATCTGACCTATAGCTAGCTTCTGTAACTTTCTGATGTGTCCCGTCGGAACGCGGTAGCTACGTATACTTGTGGGGCCCGGCTAGCTTTAGCTAAATTCTTGGCGTTTGTATTTTGTCAACTCACCAACTTTTCTATCTTCGCTATCTTGATGGAGGTTTCGACTCTACTCTCACCCCCTCAGCTACATACTACAATTCTGTAACTCCGATTCACAGGTCACACTAAAAGGAAGGAGCTGGTCTCGATATGTGTACACCGCCTTGATATTGATCATCGAAGGGTTGGTGATGTGACTACAAGCTTTTCAGCCATAAAAGGAGAAAGGCGGCAAGTTAACAATAGCTTTAGATATTTTTTCTTGGTCATTCCAAGTGCAATTCTCTGTCGTGCCAAGAATCACGACATTCTAAATGTCGCTGACCTCCTCAATTCTGCTCCTAGTAATGGTGTCTTCTGGGTATTTACTAGAACACTATGTATCTATGCCTAATCTTTCAAATATATACCACGTCTTGCAATCAATCTATATGATATCTACAGATGCATATGCTGGTATTCGTTAAATAGAGCCTAGACTCGAAACCCATATTCCAGTTTCAACGCCTTCTAATTCTCCGCATCTTAACCGCAAAGGTACGTCGAGGCGAGGGAGCTAATTAGCAGATGTACACCGCTCTCAATCTAGCAAAGATGTCTCGAACTACTTCACAGAATACTTCGATTTCATCGCCGCTAACCACAGTACTCTCAGCAGGGAAATAAATACCAACTAAATACTAGGTTGGAACATCAAGAATTAATTTCCCTCGCCCAAAGCCACCCAATTATAAATCTATAGCGGAGGTTCCGAGCCTGTGAGAGTTGAGCTTCGTATATCTCATGCCGTAAATTATAAAAGCACTAGTGTAATAAATCCTCATCTCCCAAACAGAGAACTCACGCAGGTTATCACCCGAGACCTAGTCCTACGCAAACTGTCAAGCCTCACATCTCTATATTCCCCAGCTACGTGTTTCTCCCGCCATCCAAATTGAGTTATGGCATATACCAGGAGTACGGGCACTAAAGGCCAGAGGAGCAATAATCTTTATAGGCCGGTGATCTGCCAGAGGCGCCAAGCCTATTGGCAGAACTTGACCGCCGAGTGATTGCCTATGATTCTTATTTCGCATAAACTGAATTTGACCGGCTGCCCTGATGGGGACAGGAAATAGTTGCAACCCCTATCAGCGCTTCGAATCAGACAAACTCTCTCGGTTTTGGCGAACTATCGTTAACGCATATGCATTGAGGTCTTACTTTAATTAAATATGTTTAATACCCCAGCCGCCGAACCGCCCAGGACTCAACACACGAAGATATCAACCCAAAAAACCAAGCAGGGGGAATGTTGATTGATGGCCATTTTCGCACGAAATCTCTAATATATTACA